TTTTTTTTTTTTTTCAAACATCATTTGTGATTGTCACTTGTCATTTGGACGCACCAAATTTTTCTGCCTTCAAATCTTAAACACATAGATAAACACTAGATCGCGAAGATCACGAATCACTTGTTTAAAACATTTTCATCGAACATATGCTACTATTGTTGTTGCTGTCATTTTTATTACGATCATTATTCCCATCATCATCATCATTCCATCATCGTGATGACATCATTATTATCGCTATCATCATTTTTATTCTATATTAACACAATATAGACATGCAATGCGTTTGTTGAATTTTACTGTACACGAACATTATAATATTTATATATCATAATCGAGCAACGTTTATAATTGGAAAGAACCATGGCTACAAAAATCATCATTCTTCGACGTATATAGTAAAATTAAGTGACAATAAATGAATTTCAAAAGTGATAAGTACAAGGAAAGAATGAAGAATTTATTTATCTGTAATAAAAAGAATAACGTAACATAAAGATATATAAACGATACAGGTTGAAAGTATATATAAAATGTAGCATTAACCTTGGAATCCTATAATTTCCGCATAATGTATGGCGGCATACGATATATACATATACGAACGATTTCCGACGTAGATCGTTAACGTTTGTAACTGTATTATCGCGTTAAATCTAAAGTGATGTGAAATATTTATACGTACACCTAAACATACGTGTATATGTATAATTAATGGTGTCATGTCTTTATTTATTTGCAATTTTCCCTGTAATCACACATGTATCTTACTAAAAATTATTCCTTGAATAGTTTCGTCGCAGGAGTTATTCTACGAGAACGTATTCCAGCCTTTGAACGTATGCTTTGGCGAGCATGCCGTGGTAATGTATTTCTGCGTCAAGCAGAGATTGAAAGTCATCTGGAAGACCCTTCAACGGTAATTTTCAACACGCTCTTACGAAATTGATCATCTTTCTTCATTTCTACAAAAACATATGTAATAAAAAAGTATATGATTATTCGGTTTCTTTTTTTTTTTTCTTTTTTCTTTTAGGGGGATAAAGTCTTTAAGTCTGTGTTCATCATATTCTTCCAAGGTGATCAACTGAAAACTCGAGTTAAAAAGATCTGCGAGGGATTTAGGGCCACTTTGTATCCTTGCCCCGAAGCACCCGCTGATCGCCGCGAAATGGCTATGGGAGTTATGACTCGAATTGAAGATTTAAACACAGTCAGTTACTCTTCCCATTTTGCAAGAGAAATCTCCTTCTTTATTTTAGGATAAGTGCAATTCAATTATCTACTGTCCTAACTTTGACACAGGTCCTTGGACAAACTCAGGATCATCGGCATCGTGTTCTAGTAGCCGCTGCAAAGAATATCAAGAATTGGTTCGTGAAAGTTCGCAAAATCAAGGCAATTTATCATACTTTAAATCTATTTAATTTGGATGTTACGCAAAAGTGTTTAATCGCTGAATGTTGGGTCCCCGTATTAGACATTGAAACAATTCAACTAGCATTGCGTCGTGGAACTGTAATTATTTGTCACACCTGTTGAATAACACTATCTAGTCACCTTTAATTGAACATTTTCATAGTAACGCACATTTTAGGAACGCAGTGGGAGCTCTGTGCCACCGATTTTGAATCGTATGGCAACGTTTGAAGACCCGCCCACGTACAATCGAACCAACAAGTTTACCAAAGGTTTTCAAGCTCTGATTGATGCATATGGTGTTGCTTCTTACAGAGAAATGAATCCATCTCCTTACACTATCATAACGTTCCCATTCTTATTTGCTGTTATGTTTGGTGACACTGGCCACGGCTTACTTATGTTCCTCTTTGGTGGGTGGATGGTATTAAAAGAAAAACCATTGGCCGCAAAGAAATCTGATAATGAAATTTGGAATATCTTCTTTGGTGGTCGGTATATCATTTTTCTGATGGGCTTATTTTCAATGTATACCGGACTTATATACAATGATATATTTTCCAAATCATTGAATATCTTTGGATCATATTGGAAGATCAGTTACAATTTTACAACGATAAACACGAATAAAGACTTGCAATTAAATCCCAGTAATAAAGAGATGTATCTACAAATTCCATATCCACTAGGAATGGATCCTGTGTGGCAATTAGCCGAAAACAAAATCATTTTCTTGAACTCGTACAAAATGAAGATATCTATCATTTTTGGGGTCATACACATGTTATTTGGTGTAATAATTGGACTATGGAATCACATGTATTTCAGAAGGAGACTGAACATAATTTATGAATTTATTCCTCAAATTATTTTCCTTGTGTTTCTTTTCCTGTATTTGGTTCTACTTATGTTCATTAAATGGATTAAATATGGTCCCGATAGCGATGGTAACTATATAATATAATATATTTATCCTAAAAATGTATCATGCTATACTATAATTATTATTATTATTATTTTTAGGCACAGATCCAGCGCATGGACCCTTCTGTGCGCCATCAGTATTAATTACATTTATTAATATGGTATTATTTAAACCTGGAGTTGAGTCGAAAGATGTATGTAGTCCCTGGATGTATGCCGGACAAAATGGATTCCAATCGCTTCTTGTTGTCATAGCTGTCCTTTGCATTCCATGGATGTTATTTGGAAAACCTGTTTCAATGATGTACAATAGAAAGAAGCAACATTATCAGGTTAAATTTCGAATTCATTATTAAATATTTTTAATTCGTCCTTTTCCCTAATTCTTATGAATAAGCATCTAAATTTTTCGATCTTCCTTTTTTACATATCATTAGTTAAACAACCATGGCACAGAAAATGGAGATGTAGAAGGTGGTGTTGATGCTATACAACCAGCAAGTGGAATTCCTCAAGGAGGTCACAAAGAAGAAGAAGAGGATATGAGTGAAGTATTTATTCATCAAGGCATTCATACCATTGAATATGTTCTTGGTAGTGTGTCTCACACTGCGTCTTATCTTCGTTTATGGGCTTTATCTCTTGCCCATGCACGTAAGTTTAAAATTAATAGATATATATATGTTTTACAATTTATAACACATATATTTTATTAAACATCTGTTATTAATGATTACATGTAGAATTATCGGAAGTATTGTGGAACATGGTAATGAGAAGTGGATTAACTCAAGAAGGTTGGTCAGGAGGTATTATTCTGTGGGCTGTATTTGCATTCTGGGCTACTTTAACTGTTGGTATTCTAGTCCTTATGGAAGGTTTATCCGCTTTCTTACATACACTCCGACTTCATTGGTATGTTGAAATGATTATTCAAGAACTCTCTTGTATAACACTTTATACTTGTAGATAATTTAGAATGTAGACTATCTTTTTAAATGAAATGTATAGTTTTCTAAGTTTATGTTTTTTGACAGGGTCGAGTTTCAAAGCAAATTTTATGCTGGACAAGGATACAGTTTCCAACCATTTTCGTTTGAAATTATTTTGGATGCGGCACAATCCACTACAGAAGATTAAAGTATATTGTATAATACAAATTTTACTTATTGCATATATTATCAGTGGATTTCTTGCTTTCTACAAATATAGAAAATATAAAAGTCGTCGCAAATAAAGTTTCTCTAAAATCTCTGAAATTATGATAAATTAATATTATTTTTAAATGAAGTAATTTACATTCTTGTTTATGCAATAGAAATAACTGTATCTTCAAAAGTAGAAACGTTCCAAAATTTATTCAGAATATTATTTCTACTATACGCAATAATTAAGTTTACATTTAATTATATTTCTTTATCCTACAATTAGATATTGCTTGGAATATTACTTAAAGAAACTTTCATTAAACAACACTTGCGAAATTCACAAGAATATAAAAAGTGTAAGTTATAACTGGATCTGAAGTAGGAAAAATAACTATACATTATATGCATGTCGTGTATTTAGCTATTATTATAATTACACACATATATGTTATAAACTGTAACTTACATTATTTTACCATTGCATTCCTATCTGTTACATAATGAAATATAAGCAATATAAAAATTTTATCTGTTATTTACTGAAGTAAGAGTTTCAATTCTTCATGATAAACATGCGTGATATATAACACACATTGTGCAACATAATCAAGTGCTACTATCAACAAATTTTTTATATTATAAATATCGGATTAATTTTTCATTAACATAATCTACAATTGGTTTATCATCTTTCATTAATGTCATTTCGATCCTTTCTTTTTCAGAAAAAGAAGCTTTAATTTCATTGTTAAATCAAAATCTTTTTTCATATTATCAATGGAAAAATTTGAAGAGAATTCTTTACAAGAATATTTTCCGAGTCATCATTTATTATGTTTTACATAGGATCACTGACTAGTTCCATTAAATCATCTTTAAATAAAGCAATATCCTGAACGAGAATCGTCGTAATTTTAATCGTGTTATACGGATTTTTATATAATGCAAGTACTATATTATTCGACGATTATCTATCTTTCTAGTAAGTACGTAACTAGTAAAAACTCACATATCAAAATTTTTCAGTAAAATTTATATATTAAACTTTATTTTACAGGACTTGCTATAATCAACTATGTAAATTATTAGAACAGAAAATCCCTCAAATTATTAAAATACATATTTAAGGTAAAAAAAAATCATAAACGAAATAATCAATAACTAGATTTTATATTCTTTACAAAATCATTACAATTTTAGACTTATCAAATTTATTACAAATCAAATTTATTTCAATGCATAATATTTTTGCTATAATGTTTGGTACATATTTTATCTGAATAACACAATTATGAATTATATTATATTTATATGATAACATAGAATGTAATTAAATATAATATATTATTTCTATTTTATATATGTACATGTGATGTACAATTAAAAATCAATCTTACACCTCGCATATATCAGATTAGTTGAAATTTACCTGTAATATAATTAATAGTCCTTATCGTATTCTTTTTTTAGTGTGTATTTTTTTTGAATAAATATGATTGCGCTGACACAATTACGTAATCTCCACAAGATAAAATCCAAAGATATAATTTTTATCATATTGAACTTTGATTGGTTGATCAGCGGAACTTTGCTCATACAGTAGAAACGGACCGCCTATCACCGCCAGTGTTTCCATACTCCCACTTCTGCAAAAAATAGCGCAAGCTTTCCACATTCGAAGTAGTTCCAGTCATCCCCTGCTTTGATGGTGAATGGTTGTCGTGTCTCACTTTGCGATCATTTTTGTTTTGTATAATTGTATAATTTCGTTGTTGGTATATCATTCAAAATCATGGCAGACAAACAACATGTTTGTATCGTCGGATCAGGAAATTGGTAAGTTATTTTTGAATCTACGTAAGATTTAACATCTGTAACTGCGAAAAATTTCGTCTGTCATTGATTTAGCTGATCCGTTTTAATGCTAACAGAATTGATCTCCACGTGCTGTATATAAAAATCAAGAATATATCGTACACTTGTTAAATTAAATATGTTTTTATTGTTAACACTTTACTTGGTATTATATCTTAGGTATATTAGCAGATATATTTTTAGAAGAATTATCAAATTTGGCAGATCCTAACTGGATTAGTTTATTGCCATTTGCATTTCTTTGCAATGAACGTATTTAAAAATGCTTGTATTGATCATAATAATGTTATGACAGTAACAATGTTACTTATCAATGGAATAGTTACACTATTAGTCATATTTGCGAAGTCAATTTTATGCTTAAATATAAAAATTGGTCTGCTAATGAATCTTCAATACATTTTCATACGTATTGAACTGAGAAAATACTATGAAAATGTTGCCCAGCAGAAATATGTGCGAATTTTTGGACCAAAAGTATAGAAAAATGTTATGTAAAATAAATTATTATATAATTTTATTCTATGTATAATTTTAGGGGATCGGCTATTGCTAAGATAGTTGGAGCAAATGCCGCTAAACTTAATAACTTTGAGGATCGCGTTACAATGTATGTTTACGAAGAAATCATCAATGGAAAAAAACTGACTGAAATTATTAATGAAACGCACGAAAACGTGAAGTATCTTCCGGGACATATACTCCCGCCTAATGTGGTGAGTACTTACATATATATGTGTATTCTTTTTCGTAATTCTAAAAAAATTATTTTTTATATTAAGAACAAAATTTATTTGTTACAAACAATACAAGGTCATATTTTTCATTCATCATTTTAGACGAAATTAGTTATCATTCAATAAAGATATAAAAACATTTTAAAAAAATTATACGTGTACATAAAATTAATATCCTATTTTACATCAAATTGTCTATTCAACTTTTAAACAAATGCAAATATTTTAAATTTTTATCAATAATAATAATATTACCTTATAGAATATTAAATACTTATTCTTTATGCATTCATTTCTGTACACACATATTTTTACAATATACTTCACTTCAACACATGAACACGTGTATAACGGAAAATACGTTGTGTAACCTTACTATAGTTACTGTTAAATGTACAATCCTGAAACTAAATTAAGCTTACGTAACTCTCGTGTAAGATCATAT